GATGTGTCTGATGTGAACATAGTAGGAAATCAATTAGTGCCAGATGAATGGCTGCTGCTTAGCAGTGACCATGGAGGCCCTGTGCACAATAGATTCCACTACAACTCAGACAAACTATAGCAGTAGTAAGTTACTTATACTAACTTAGAAAAGGCAAGAACTAGTGGCAACTACCACTTTGTGAGCAGTGAATTCACAAATAATATTAACGTACAGAAAACACTCATACAAAAGCATTACAGTAAAAACATAATTTAAATACTGGACAAGAGTTCCAGTGATTTCTAATATTGTACTGATGGCTATTTAAAGCCATACACACACACATAATTCCTGTGCATGTGAAGATATACACACACACATATACACATACACACATGCAATTCCTGTGTGTGGATATGTATGCATGTATATATGCATATAGATGATATATACACATGTATGCATATGTACATACATGTGTATATATCATCTACATGTGACACAGATTTTCACCACCCTGTAAACTCTGCACTCAGTTTTCCAAGTCTTAAAAACAGTAAAACTTTACTCAAAACAAACAAAAGCAAGTTTATCTCCAGTGACTTTTCAGACTGACTTACTTGGAGCAAGTGCATTGCAGTGTACCTGTACTAGTGAACAAATCACAGGAAATATAGTTAATCCTCTTAAAATATTAATGCTAGAAGCAAGTCTTGAAATTACTAAGTCTAACCTCCACACTTTAAAATGGGGAGACACAGACCAATGAGAAGCAATCACTTTCCCAGTATTCACATTAGCAAGACTGGGATTAAAAGACAAATAGTCAGCATCCTTTTCTGTGCTCTTCTCACAAATCAGAAAATGCCCTAAAAGCATTTGGCTGTTACCTCATTTCTAGTAGCACCATTAGAAGTTTCCCTTCAGACTGAACCAAGTATGGAGCCACCTGCAAACTCTATGATTGATTGATACAAGTAGATAGGGAGATGGAGTGAAAAATATGGGTTGACCTGCAGATAATCGGGAATTTACTGTAATAGAAACAAAAATTATGATATATTTTTCAAGATAACAAATGTGACATCCATTACCTGAGATGGAGGGCAAGGGTAGTATAATAAAATAAAATGCAGCAAGCCCTCTAAATCAATTATAAGGGACATTTTCAGTTATACTGTTTTATATCATCTTAAGTGGGTGTCGGTCTTGCTGTGATAGGGCATTGTGCAGCCATAGGAGCAAAGGAGTTCACTGTCCTCAGCTAAAATAAATGTAGGCCCTGATGATCTTATTAATGGATGAGTAAAAATAAAAGAAACAGAAAATTATACTGGGACACCCATAATGACCCTGTCAAAGGATGACTTATTTTAAAGGAGTCTTTAAATCCATGGGAAAGACTGCTCCATAAGTTAAGATAAAAAAAATGAGAGAGACACATAGGGAGAGGGATGGAAGATGCAGAAGTGGAAACCCACATCAACCAGATCTTTACCATCCAAGAACATAGTGACATCAGAGACTGGTGACAGACTGTTGATATTATCATTCTAAACCTTAGTATTGCCTGAAGAAGCAGAATAGCCAGCCACACAGTCACTCGGAATTTTTTCCTATGGGGAGGATTAGACAGAATTTTTTTCTGCCTAGGAAACCACGAACTGGGAATGAAGAAGGAGAGAGCTCTTCCTTCCTGGAGTACCTTTGTTCTTGTCATCCCTTTCATTGTCCCTTTCATACATTTTTCAAGGATGAATAGGAGAGACCCTGCCCATCACTGCTAGACCACCTGGGGCTTTTCTTCACTGGCATGGCCACCTGCAGCTGCTTCCAGAACCTGCCCTGTGGATACTTGGATTTCTCCCCTTTCCATTTAATGACCGTGAGCACCGCCTTAGCCCTCTTCAGCTCTTTCACCTTCGTCTCCTTCACAGCTTTGTACTGTACTAAAATGACGTTGATGCTGCCCCGAGAGGCCATATTTTCTAGGCCAGCCTTGAGCTCCAAGAGGGCTTGCGTTCCCTGGAGCACGTAGTTGGGGCTTAGGACAACCAGGAGGCGTCTGCTTTTCTGAATGAAGCTCAAGGTCTCATCTGTGATAACTGGGAAAGAAAACAACCATGGGGATTAGTGTTGGCCAGAAACTCCCCCAAAGCATGGGGCTTCTGCAGGAATAAATGTACAAAACTTAGGGTAGCAGCCTGAGAACTGAGGTTAACTTAATACCAGCAACACCATGAACTGCTTAATCCTTAGACCTGATCACTCTGTTCATTAAGCCACTCTCCTCAGGGAGAATGAAGACTATATCCACATATTCCACCCCAAAAAGAATTCCAAACAAGCATGAAGCCAAAAAGGTATGTACTGCTGTGATCTCAGTCTTCAAAAGCATTATTTGACACAAAAAGAACAGATGTGCTATACTAAAAGTCTTTGAACTGTGTGGCATGTCATGGCCCAGTCAAATCAGCTCTTGAGCCCTTTTTTCCCCCCAAAGATTTATATACTCCCTAAGGCCAATGGGCCTTCCAATAGATATACATTACAGAGTCAAAGTTATAGAATTGCATATTTTGCTAACACAGGACAATATGAGTAGGAACCTTCCTTTTTTGAAAGACTCTCTCTGTTCTTGGACACCTCCCTGACTCAGACTGATATCAATGTAACCTAAACAACTAAAAAAACAAAAAAAAAAAACCCACAAAAAAACCCCAGCCACTTGAATTTGAATGGAATTTTGGCTGGCAATACATTTGCAGCTTAGCTTTCTATCTGTTTCTGCTCTGCAGCCCAAATTAGTGCCTGGATCTTTCTCCTTAAACTCCCACCATTACTATGGAGCCATGTGTTGTGGCAGCTGGTAGCTGATGTGTCTGCTTTCACTAATAAGCAAGTGCTTTTTTCAAGTAAAAAATAAGAAAAAGCGGGAAAAAATAGAAATGCAGTGTAATTTTTTTTGCTGTCAAGGGTTCTCATCACTAAATTCTTGAGACTAATCCATCTCCTCTCAGTGGCTTATTGAGGACTGTATAATCCTTGACATTGGGATCAGACAGTTGCCAACTCCAGGTAGTGCACTAGTGTTGTGCGAACCGGTATCGTGGCTTTACATTCTCTCCTCGGCAGTCATTTTGCCTCTTAATCATCACAGATACAGAGGTAGAAGGGAAAGACTTGCAATTAAAATCTAGCAAGTGCAGCCTGGAGGAGATTTCAGGAATAAATATTCGTCTACTCCAAGTAGTGCCACTGGAGGCTGACCATGGGAAGTGTGGAAAAAGACTCAGAGGCAAAGAGGATTGAGTAAAAGCAGCAGGGAGAATACAAAATGGAATAAATATTCGTCTACTCCAAGTAGTGCCACTGGAGGCTGACCATGGGAAGTGTGGAAAGAGACTCAGAGGCAAAGAGGATTGAGTAAAAGCAGCAGGGAGAATACAAAACGATGCAGGGACAACCATCAGAAGCAAGATGCAAGAGTAATTACTAGAACTTAAATTCTTCAAAGACTATCAACCCTTTTAGAGGGTCTTACCCTGTTGTATACTGTGCATCTTTATAGAACTTTCCATCAGTAGGTAAGTATTTGTTGAATAGCTTTATGAATAAACGAATGGATGAATAAATGATTTGGGGGAATTAAGTATTAAAATGAATGGAATTTGTCCTTAATTGCATAATTAAGTCAACATTTCCTGGCAAAGTAATACTCAAGGAGCTATCTTCTGTAGAACACAAGCATGATGGGCTTTTGGATGGTGATTGGAGAGATAAAATAATTGATTCAGCTAATTAAACATGAGAATAGAATTTTAAGTCTATTCTGTATCTCAATTATCCATATCACATTTTTTAAAAAGCATGTTGAACAAATGGTTAATGTAAAAAGAATTGTAGGGGAAGAAAATTCGTTTGTCATGCTTAAGATTAGACACATACATGTCAACAGTTGGAAGCTTATCAGTGGGTTTAGGAACATTATTTATTTGTTTCTTTAAAAAGACTGAAATGGACCATTACTTTGTGTGTTACTATGTGGACCTGAAGAGACACACTTTTATTTTAAAACATTCATCAACTCAAGCTTTTCTTTTTTTATCCTACTAGAATAGAACGGCCTTTGTAAAAATTTTAACTAAATCTCAAATGTATAAGCTGATAGAAGGGAAGAAGCAGATCCAAGGAAAAGGGAAATTTGATAAGTGCTAGTTTGCTCAAAAATAAGTGAGGAAAAGGAAATGAGCAAGTGCCAAAGGGAAATACCCTAAATATGACCCATGATTAATATAAGAAAAAGTTCTATGCATTCTCTTCTGCAACTCAGTTTTAGAAAAACTAGGTGAGCTTCAGTTTTGTAAGAATGTTTTTTTTTAAATACTCAGTCTTTGTTAAAAAAAAAAAATTCTAAACTTCTAGGCAAACCAATGCAGATCAGCCTAACATTCTAAAAATCTAAATGTGAGCAAACAAGACATTTATAGTTGTGGCACAGAGCTCTAACCCACTATGCATCCATGCTTTTCTGACATAGAGTTCTTAAAGATGACAAGGCAAAATATTTTTTTTTTTCCTTTTTGTCTTTTTTACTGACCGGTAATGGGATCGCAACCCTCGGTGTCGCGCCCGTACCAGGGACCGGCAACGGGATCGCAACCCTCGGTGTTGCGCCCGCACCGTGCTCAGCCAGTGAGCGGGAACCGGTCTCCACATGGGATCAGAACCCTCGACGGGAGTGCCCCCGCGCTCCCAAGCGGCACACTCTCCAGTGTGCCACCGGGCTGGCCCAAGGCAAAATATTTTAATACCATGAACTGAGTTGAATAGTGTACATGCATCTTATAATGTAGTTTTATTCCTAGAGAAGTCTCTGTTACATCAAAGAACTGGGCATTAAATATCCGAAGGTGTCAGTGTAGAGCTGCATCCCGACTCTTACACATGACCCAAACCTAATTATTATCCTGTTGCTTTTCAGGGTAGAATCATTTGCACTCATCTTAAATACCTACTTCCCCCAGGCAGACTGTCTCGGTCAAAGATGCACAGCTTGTATCCTAATTCATTCTCCAAAACTCCACGGAGGGTCAGTAATACAAATTCCTCTTCTTCTGCATTCCTTGCATAGGATACATAAACATCATACTCCTTCCCATCTAGCAAAAGGAACACAGATTCAATATAAATTAGGAACGTTTCTCAACAGTATTACAGTTTTTCTTAAACACAACTTTTGCATGCTAGACCTTTTTTTTAAAATTTTTAACATGTACAAATTGTGACAGATTCCAGTGTGAAATTTCAAGTTTTATCTGATGTGTCTTCTAACCTCACTGAGTTGAGACTTTATAGTAGAGAAATAGTAAGGTTTCACCTCTTCAACTGTGAATTAAATCATAAATCATAGGTGCTGGCAACGAATACCACGCAGAACATCTCTACTCCCGTCCTACTATATATCGCTCATTAATATATTAAAATTACAAATTGAGCAAAACTTTTAAAAACCATCTAAAGTATTTATATCTGAAAAGAACTACAATTAAAAATACACTAAGACTCAATGGACCAATCCTTCCCAAAGTTGCCTAATTATAAAAAATCACCTTCCACTAAAAATACATCTTCTGTGTCTCTTCCACAAGCCTACTAAATTAGAATCTTTATGGGGTGGACTAAAAATCTGTATGTTTAAATGCTCCAATCTTATCACTAGGCAAATCTGCTTTAGAGCAGTGCTTCTTAAACTTGAGTGTGCACATGAATCGCTTGGGAATATTGTTCAAATGTAGATTCTGATTCAGGAGGGATAAAGTCTAAAATTCTCCTAATAAGCTCCCAGGTGATGCTGATGCTGCTGGTTTAAGGATCTGCTTTGAGTACAGAGACTGTAGAACTGCACCCTCTAGCACAGCAGCCACAAACCACATGCATCTAAATGTGGCTGGACTGAACTAAGATGTGCTGTAAGTGTAAAATACAACACATTCTGAATTTTGAAGATTTTTAGTACCAAAAAAAGTCTATAAAATATCTAACTTTTTACTATTAATTACATGCTGAAATAATATATAAATATATTTAGTCAAATCATTATTTTCAATTGTTTCTTTTTATTTTTTTCTAATGTGGCCAGTAGGGAATTTTAAATAGCATATGTGCTTGCATTATATTTCTATTTGGACAGTGCAAATCTAGACTAAATCTCATATAGAGACAAGAAAGAACAATAACACACATTGGAAAGATTTTCAATAGTACAGGTTGAAATAAAAGCTAATCCGCTTATTAAATGTTGCAGTTAATCTAGGTTTTATCAAGTCAACATGTTTTTATTTTCTTTGTTTTGAAAAAAAAATGTGTTCTAAAGATGACAGTAGAAGAGATTTATATCAAACGTCCACTACTTACCTAAAATGGTTTCATCTGTTCCAAAATGAGCCCGGTAAAATAGGACCATCTCCAGCCAGTAAACATGGTAAACAACAATGAGAATCACCACCAGCAGGACCGTGGCTCCAAAACCACATGCCAGTTCCACTGTGTATACTGGAGCTACCAATGAGTGAACAACAAAGAAAAAGAATAGATTTCTATGTGGTGATTACAGTGACCCATCATCACGCAAATAGCTGGATAAGCCAAGCAGCTGAACTGTGCACCTGCCTTCTATGGGTGAACAAGGAGAGATAACATGGTAGAGTTTAAGCACTATTTTTTAATACTAGACTGTGTCATATTTGTCTTTTTGTTTCTAGCACCTGGTATAGATGGTGTTTTTAACTATTAGATGATTTGAATGGACTTCAGTGATACACAAATTAAAATAGTATTTTCACATTGGGAAGAATTTAGAAGGTCATCTAATTCAACTCAATTTGATACCTGAATCTCCTCAAAACTATTTTTGAAAAGTGCCATTCCATCCTCTGTTTGTCCACCTCTTGGGATGGAATCCTCATTGCTGCCTACAGAGCCCATGATGTTGGTAGAATTGTAATTGTTGGAGCAGCTCATTTGAGTAAAACTATTAATATGTTCTCATTAGTTTTGTTTTATCCTCTTGTCATATGGGAGGAATTTAGGTCCATTTCCTTTATATTCAGAAATAAGTCTCAGATATTTTATTTTCATTGGGCAGAAGCAGAGGGCATCCACTAAAGGCGAGTATGCTTGACTCTGAACATATCTCCCATATCCACAGTTCTACGATACACATTCCAAAGACTGACTCGCAATATCTGATTTCCATATTATCTGCTTATTTTTTTATATTATAGGCACATTAGCAGTTTTTTTGGAACTATCAGAAATAGAGACCATTCTTAATTATCTAAAAACTAGATCAGTCATTAGCTCTGTAAACAAGGTCTGTCCAAACCAAATCACCAAAAACCTTTTTGTCTCATTTACCAATGCCCTTTCCTCAAAAACATCAGGAAGACTTGACATCATGCCTTTGCCCATTCTATGACTTCTGGGTGGAATAACTCTTTCTTTTTACTTTCCAAGTTCATGATCAAATGCTATTATTTTGTATAAGCTTTCACAAAATAAGCTCTTCTTGCAACCTGAGCTCTGCCTGGTAGAAATACTCACTCTTTCCTTAATTCATAATTCTATTGCAGCATTTTTTATGATATTGCAATTTATATACAGGCCTGCTTCCTACTCCCTCCCAACTCCCACTAAACCATACATTTTTAATCTTTCTGATGGAGACTCTGTCTTTTTCATCCATCTACCCCTAGAATACCTAATATCTCAATGAACATTTTCAGATATAACCCTTTTACACTTCTGGAATATTTAAAAGAAGCCTAGTACTATACTATGTATCAACAGCTTCATTTGGTTACTTTATTAGCTTGTGATAATGAAGATAAGAGTTTGAGGGAGGAAGAGAATATTTATTGGATCTGAAGCTGGAGTGGCTTAAATTATGTATCAGATGATTTGATAATTACTTATTGGCATCTACTATTTTTCAGAAGCTTTTGGGAATACAATTGGTAAATAAGACAGAAAGGGTCGCTGACCTTTGAAGACTAACATTCTAATGCAGGGAAGTAAAATAAATAAATAAGCCAGTTAGTTTTAAATAATGATCAGTGCTGTAAAGGAAATAAACCAGGCAATGTGATAAAGGGAAAGGGCTGGGGCAGGGGAGGTACATTAGGTAAGGTGGTGAGGAAAGGCTTTTGTGAGCACCTAGGACATTACAGGTATTAAGTGTTTGCTGAGACAAAGCATGGAAGAACCTCATTCAAAGTTGGAATTGGGGCCGGCCCGGTGGCGCACTGGAGAGTGCGCTGCTTGGGAGTGCGGCGGCGCTCCCGCTGAGGGTTCGGATCCCATGTGGAGACCGGTTCCCGCTCACTGGCTGAGTGTGGTGCAGGCGCAACACCGAGGGTTGCGATCCCGTCACCGGTCAGTAAAAAAGACAAAAAGGAAAAAAAAAAAAAAAAAACAAAGTTGGAATTGTTCTTGAAGCTCCCTTAGTTCAAAGTACATGGATCTTTGCATATCACCACCATGAAGTTCAATTATATACTAGTGAAAAGAATTCCATTTAAGTCAAGTATCTATCCTAAGAAGAAAATGTAAGCAGCTTGTATCTGAGCCTTAAGTTCTCTAATTAAAGGGCAAATCATAGAGTTTTGAGTTTATCATCCTAAACTCAGGATATTGTACTGCAGGTATATCCTGGGACTCAGCAATGTAAAATTATTGTCAGGTACTCTTGTATTCATTCCATGAATAATGGTGCTTTAAAGTAAGAAAACTCCATCATAAAATGACAGAAGCTATGCCAGTGCAGTTGTTGAAAATTTACTAAGATCAATATGGGTAGCTGGCATGAACATCACTGTGTCCTTGGTACTTCTCAATACATGTTATGTTAACAGTACACTGGGGTAATTTCCACTGTTATTTTCATTATTTGCTCCTTTTTTGGCTCCCTCTTGTTGGACATTTTGTGATCGGCAGCGGGGTGGGAAGGCATCAGTGGCTACACTTATGTGAAATGGGTTTTTTAAAATGTCAGTAGAGATCTTGCTTAGTGACCCAAAGATCAATTTACCCTCATAAATTTCCCTCTGCCTTATTCATTTTACTACTTCCTATTGTATTCCTAATGAGACTTTTTATTTTGTTTTTTTTTTGGTCACGCAGTCACATCATATTCACAGATTGTATTTGGTGGAGCTATCTTGATATCAATAAAGATTTCCCTAATGCTACTTAACTAATTGGACTCAAATAATACAACAGCCTGATTTCCTATATGGCTGGAGTCATGTGCAGGAAGTGCTCTACAAGGCTTCCACTTTGTAAAGCAGTGCTGGCTTACAGGGAAAGGGTGACCCCCAGCCTACATTCTCTGTCTTCCCCAAGCTGGAACCTTGAGCATTCTGGTGCAAAGATTTTTCTCTGATGCAATCCCAAACCAAAGCATTTCCCGTCAGGAAGGAGTGATGCAATTTGACCAAATTGGACTCCTAAATTCCCTCTTTCATCAATTTTGCTAATAATCTGATTTGAGATGCAGCCAAGTTTAGCCACTTGTGGTTACTCCCTGAATGAGAATTTCCTCCATTCTTGTTTGCACTTCTACAGTGATAACTGGCTCCAAAGCCCAAATTTCCAGCTAACTGCTCTTGGTTAAACCAGTCCAACATTTCAGCTCTATTCTTTTTCCCCCTATCAAGTTCTTGTTCTACAGTCTCCTTGGAAATTTAGTTATCCCCCTCATTTTCATTATTGTAGTTGGAGCTATCCATCGAGTCTCCCAAACAAATGCCAGCTGCCTGGACTTTTCCTGCCACAAAACCCATGGCTACTCTGTGCACAATTACTGGAACCTCTTCATGATTTTTGAAAATGTGGCATTGACCATCTTCCTGAATTGCAAACAAACAAAATGCTTTATTTAAATGATGGTAAACCAGAGTCTTTTGACCTGCAGACCTGATTTTTTGGCTATTATAGTGTGTCAAAACTTGTGCACTTTGGACTTCAGCTTCTGTCCTTAGAGGAGTAATCAATAATGGACTAGTATTCCCTCCACAATAACTAAAACAACAGTTTTTCAAGACAAAAGAAGACAGTGGTTACACAAGCTAAAGAAATAGGAATTAGAGCTCAAGACTATTGAGTTGCATTGAATTTATAGGCCTGGCTACCAAAAAGATGAGAACTATGTAGAAAAGGAACCCTAGAAATCTGCATGGGGTTACCTCTAGTCTTTGGACGAATACAAAGCTGCATATATTTAGGGTGATACATTATAAGGTTAGGCAAAAAACAGCTGGGAACTGAACAACTCTAGGAGCACATGCAGGGCTAGGAGACACTTGAGTTAAAACCCTTCAGAATGCAGAGACTTTGTTTAGCTCTCCAAGTGTTAAGCAGAAACCCCAGATAGGACATGGCTTAGAAATAGGTCCCTCTAGCCCTGTGGAAAAGGCTATTTTAGACCTAGACTAACAAATATCAACAAGATGCTTTTGAAAAAGCAAGTTGTTATGCAAGTAAATTAACTAATTGCTAGAACAAAACTTAACACTCTCTTACAAAATCCAGACATTCAATGATGCAACATCCATAATGTCCAGCATATGATTTAAAAAACTACACAGAAGGAAAAGCAAAAAGAAATATGATCTATATTCAGAAGAAAAATCAGACAATAAAAACAGAACCAGAATTGACAAAGAAGATGAAATTACCAGATACATACTTTAAAATGGATATTACAAATTTGTCTGTTGAATTAAAAAAGAGGCCACGAACACTATGAACAGCAAATAGGAAATATCAGCAGAGGCATTACAATGGAGAAATAGAAATTCAAACCTGGAAAACACAATTCTGAAATAAAAATGATGCAGATTAGACATCACAAAAGAAATGATCAGTGGACACTAGGAGCTATCCAAACACTAAGGGAATAATAGGATGAAATAAAAATAATAAGAACCTCAGTGACCAGTGGGGCAACAGTGAGTGATCTATCCTAAACTTAATTGTGTACTTAAAGGAAAGAGTGAGGGAACAGCAAAACATATTCAAAAAAATAATAGCTAAATTTTTTTCAAATTAAAATTAAAGTATAAATTAATAGAACCAAGAAGCTTAGTGACCCCTACATAAGAAAATATGATAAAACTACACCAAAGACTATCATAATTAAATTGTTTAAAATCAATGAAGAAGAGAAAAATCTTAAAATCTGCCAGGGAAAAAGAGATGAGACATACATGAAAGGCACAATAATAAACAAAGAAAACAAAAAACTGCCCAATTCACATTATAAATAATATTATCCAGGAGAAAATAGAATGATGCCTTTAATGGGCTGGAAGGGATAAAGAAAAAGTTTCAACCTAAAATTATATATCCAGTAAAAATATCGACAAAGGCATCAGAGCAACATAATGAGGAAATGAAAATCCAATGAACTATGCTGGAACAACTGGATATCCATATGAAAAGAAAATTAAACTTCTAATTCTACCTGACAACATTCATTAAAAAAAGAATTAGAGATAGATCACAGACTTAAAACAAGAGTTGACACCTCATGACTTGGTGGTATGCAAAGCTCTCTTAGGACACAGAAAGCAGTAACCATTAAAGAAAAAGTTAATAAATTACACCTCATCAAGAACCTCTGTACTAAAATATACCATTAAAGAAACAAATTTTCATGCATAAAAGTATTTGAAAAAGATATATCTGACAAAGGACTAGTATCCAGGATAGATAAAGACTTTCTACAATTCAATAATAAAAATAAAATCAATCTAATTCTAAAATGGGCAAAATGTTTGATCAGTCACATCACGGAAGAAGACACACAGATGGCCAATAAGCACATAAAAAATGCCTAGCATCTTTAGTCATAAGAGAAGGGAAAAATAATAAAGTACCACTGCACAATTACCATAATGGCTAAAAAACGAAAACAATGACAACGAATGGTGAGGATGTGCACACGCTGTTGATGAGAGTGTAAATGATAATCTCAGCATAAACCTAACATTAGAAAAAGGCATTACAAGAAAAGAAAATTACAAGCCAATCTCTCTCATGAGCAAAGATAAGGGCAAAATCCTTAACATGAGCAAAAACCCTTAACAAAATATTAGCAAATAAAATCCAGCAGTATGTAAAAAGGACAACAAATCATGTTGACATGAGAGTTTATTCTAGCAATGCAAGATTGGATGAACATCTCAAAATCAATCAGTATAAATCATGACATTGACAAATTAAAAAAAAAAAATCATACCCTCTCAACAGATGGAGATAAGAATTAAAAAAGAAACTTACAACACATTTATAAAAAAAAGTCTTAGCAAACTAAAAATTTAAGGCTAACCTCTCATATGGCTAAAGGTCATCCACCAAAAAACCTACAGTTAACATAATACTTACTGTATAGAAACTGAATGCTTACCTTCTAAATTTGGGAACAATGAAAAGACAGCCACTCTCATAACTTTTGCTAATCATTGGATGGGAGGTCCAAAAACATGAAATAGACAATAAAAAGTAATCAAAGATATAAAGTTTGGAAAGAAAGTAGTAAAAATTGTTTAATTATGGGTGGCATGATCAAGTGTGTAAAAAATCCTAAAGAATCAAAGAAACAAAATAAACAAAAATCCTATTTAATTAGTGAATTGGGAAGTTCAAAAGATCAAGGTCAACACAAAAAAATCAATTAAAACAGCATTTCTGTTTTATCAATGAACAATTGGAAAATAAAATTTAAAAGAATACCACTACAACAGCATCAAAAACAAAATATTTAGAGATAAATTTAACACCACATGTGCAAAACCTGTACACTCAAATAAAAAAAAAAAAAGAGAAAAATCAATGAAGACCTAAATAAATAGAGAGATGTATCATGTTCATGGATTGGAAAACTCAATATTACTAAGATTTTAATTATCCCCAAATGGATTTATAAATTTAATACAATCTACTCAAAATCTTGTCAGGTTTTTATGCAGAAATGCAGAAATTGATGAGCTAATACTAAAATATATATGAAAAAAAATATGGCCCCTAAAATAGTCAAATCAATCTTGGAAAAGAAAAAAAGAGGAGGACATATAGTATCTGATTTCATGACTTACTTTAAAACTATGTTAATCAAGATTTGGACTAAAGATAGACAAGCAGATTAACAGATCAGAATAGGGAATGTAGAAATAGACCCAAGTTTTGGCCAAGTTTTCAAACAATTCAACAAAATCAGAAAGACTTTTCAATATCATGCTGGAAAAATTAGCTATCTATATGAAAACAAAACAAAATACTAAACTTTAACCCATATACCTCACACCACAAAAATAATTTGAAATGGATCACAGGCCCAAATATAAAAACAAAAATCGACTAATTTTCTGGAAGAGAATACAGGAGAATATCTTTCTAACCTGAATAAAGGAAAAGATTGCTAATACAGGATTTAGAAAGCACTAACCATTTAAGAAGAAATTGATAAAATGAACTTCATCAAATTTTTTAAAATTGTCAAAATAAAATGAATTTACAAACTGGGTGAAAACATTTACAAGTCATAAATCTGACAAAGACCTCTGTATACACATATATGTTTATCTCCTATAACACATTACATTAAAAAGCAAATGACCCAAAACAAAATGGGCTGAAGAATTTAATGGACACTTCACAAAAAGAACTATTAATTAATGATGAATAAGCTCATGAAAAAGTGTTAAACATCATCAGTATCCATGAAATGCAAATTAAAAACACAGTGTGATACCACTATCCATCTAATAGTATGGCTCAAATTTAAAAGTTGAACAACTCCAAAAGTTGGTGAGGAAGTAAAGCACCTACAATTTATATACATTGCTAATGGAAGTGTAAAATGGTACAACCTGTTTGAAAATAGTTTCCAGAATTTCTCATAACGTGTGGAAGATTTCCTTGACTGATGTGTGTTTTCCCACCAGATTAAGCTCTCTAAGGGCAGGGACTTTGCAGGTAAATGAACACCTTGCCTTAGTCTCTACTACTCTGTTATAGAACAACTGCATGGTTATCTGGTTTACATTAGCTGCCTCTTTACTACTTTGCTTTAACTGACTAGATGAAATTATGCTGTCAGTAAGACCTATCCCAGTGAATTCCTCTCCTTCCTGTCCTTAGCCCCTTCCTGTCATCCTTTTGATGAATACATACAATGTTTTGTTAATGAATTCAGAGAAGGAAGGCCCCAGACATGTTGTAAATGTTTGAATGTGGACTCAGATATCACCTCTGCATTTGAGCATTAGCTGGCCCAGAACAGAAGCCAAGTAAACAAAACCATACCACCTCTGGTACCACTGGAAGTACAGAGATCCGACTGGATTACATACATGTCACCTTTCTGCACAGATCGTCAGGTGTAGTAGACCCACATGTCACCTCACCTTCCTAATGCTGTCTATACCATGCTATTTACAGCAGGGGCTTCTTTGAAAGGGTTCTGGTGGGCAAATTTGTGCTTCACTATTACATAAAACATTATTTTAATTGATTTTTCTGGATCCTATCCATTTGACAATAAGTTATTAATTTATGTGATCCTCCATAATTGTTCCCCAGAGCACATGCTTTAGGAGTCCCACAAAATGCTCCATAATTAATGAATCTGGAGTCAAATATATTCAAAAACATCCTGCCTACTATAATCCAATCCCCTGCAGATATTCATATCAAATGTTAATAAAGACTCTAAGAGGTCCTGAACCAAAGTAACTTGATTGATTATGTTTAACCTAGACTCTGTTATCACTTACTTGACTATAGAAGCCTTTGTTAAATAATATGTAAATCTTATGGAAGTAAAAAGAGCTAACATATACTGAGCATTTAAAATAAATGTATATATGCGAGTAACTGTGCTGAGCACTTTAAAAACAACCTTGTGAGGTAGTGGTATTATTTTGTCTACTTTAAATATAAAGAAATTGAGGCTTAGAGAAATTAAGTGACTTTTTCAAAGTCACAGAGTTAGGGTGCACGGAAACCAGGATTTCAACATAGGCCACCGGATTCTAGAGTACAAATAACCCATTGCGGTACAATATTAATTCTTAGCAGTGTTTTGGAACTAACTTTGGGAGACTGCCTTACATCATGTACTTTGGTCTTCTCCCTTTATGCTGGCTTCTGAGTAGCAGAAGCAACGAGTTATCCTGAACCAATCCACTAAGACTTCTTAAGAGGCATATACATCTCAGGCTTTTGCTCTTTACTTTTGAAATTGTAATGAAATGTTGAGGTGAATCTGGTTTTTTCATCACCTTTAAGAAAGGATTAAGTCCCACTGTGAAATGTAACAATTATGAGACAGTTTTTCTTAAATTTTCCCTTTTGATATATTATAAGCTCTGTTAGACACTAGGACCCAGGACGATTCTGAATGACCTGACTGCATGGGTGATATGCCATCGTTACTTTTTTCCAGACCACTGAAAAACATTCTTGAAAGGATTAATGGTCTGGGATTCTGTGTTAGGTGAGAGACTCAAAGAGAATCTTGGACACAGTCTGTTTCAGGAGCAACAGCTCACAGAAGAAGGCTTTATAATTTTTATTTATTATAAAAAATATAGTAATATCAACATAGAAATCATTTTTACATCATGTTAAACAATTTTCATTTTAGCAATTATGACTAGTAGTTATGTAATAAACCTCCTCAAATATTGATACACAGTGTTTAAAATGATAATTTTATAATTATACTTTTTCTGAGAACAAATATTTTATACCTTACTCATCTACTTGCATACAATTAGGTGTTTGCTATTTATAATGTTTCATTATTACATTTGTAATGTTTCATTATTATGCTGCTAAGAATATTGATGAATACGTAATTCTCTTTCTGTTGTTAGGAAAAAATTCCAAAAGTATTAGGTCAGATGGCATGATCGTTTTTATGACTCTTGAACTCTGCCATCAATGATTTCTAATACAATCTTTATAATTCGCCAACAATTTTTGGCTCTATCAGTTTTATTATATCCCTGGTAACTTCGAATTTTTTTATTTTTCATTTTTCATGATTGCATAGATATAAAATTGTTCCTTATTATTGTAATCAATTGGTTTTTTTAAAGCCACATTTGGGCACTAAGATACTAACACTGTCAGAAGCAGTATTTTTAGTATCTTTGCATAGATGGAAACTTTCTCTCAAGATTTTTCATTCAAGTTTGAGTCATGACTATTCATCAGATGTTGTGCTAGGTACTGGCGCTCTCATTCTCACCACTATATTACGTTTGGAGTTCAGAGGTTCATTTGCTGAGTGCATCCGTTACCTTTCTGTTTCACCTTGGCTGCTTTGTCAACTTCCCCTTTGGCATTTCTAGCATGACAGACATAACTGCGCTTGAGGTCCTCGGGGGTTACTTTCTTGATGCTCAAAATCTGAATTCTTGTTTCATCTTCTGTTCTACTATAACTTACACTAGAAATAGGGGAGAGAAAATCAAAGCATTCATGAGACTCAAGGCTACTCACTGTGTGCGAATCAGAGAAGTAAGCAACTATAGAGACCCCAGGTGAGGGCAGATGGAATGTTGCCTGTAATGCAATAGTTACAAGAGGGGAATACTAGATTCCAATACTGCTTTTTACCATTTCTACTGCACACTATGCCACTGTCTAGATCAAATCTCAGTGTTGGCTTCTTACTACAGATCTCTTTCCAAAGAAAAAGGTCTCCTTTGCTCAAACTTCTGAGGCAGGAGGCTGTATTGATTTAGAGCGAAGCTTCTGTGGCCACACCCATTTGGGTTTTGATCCAGGTTTTGTCATTTAGTACACATTTGACTGTGTACTTTGGGCTAGTTAACTAATCTGTCCATGTACTGGGTTCCTCTTTGGTAAAAGAGAAGAGTAGTAATGCCTACGCAGTGAATTGCGTATAATAATTTGCTCAAGAATTCTGAGTATGTTAATACTCTCAGAATGTTAAATATAAGAACAATGCTTAATAAAATATTTATATAGGCTATTCTCATTATCTGACAGGAAGAGCTGATGCATTTCAGTGATTCCCAAATCCTGGATTCTGAACCCAGAATATTTTGATCAAAATGCTGAAATCCCTGGTTAATACTAACATGTAGAAAGAAAAAACTGCTCGGAACAAGTAAACTTTGCAAAAGTAAATATATCTAACCTCAGTGAGTGCTTTGGGTCTGTAATCAAGACTTAAAACTCGCTTGAACTACTTTGCTCAAAGGGGAATAAAATCTCTCTCCTACAGCTGACTGCTGTGTACCTTCTCCTTTTGATTAGGCTTGCTGTCAGTCAGGAGAATTTGGTTAAGGACTCTGATTAGTTTAGCCTACGCTTAACTCCACTGCTCTCCTATAAACACCGAATACGTGTTGCCATAAGCAGCAGGGAGGAGCAACATGACTTTACGTATTATTCATTTGTTATTATTATGAGGATGGGAAGCACAACGTTCGGAATTCCTGAAATGATCAGTAACTCTCCCAGCTTCCAGCCACACCTTTCATCAATTTCTTCTGTAAAAAGTACTCCAGTTTCAGCTCTTTTTGTGTCTTTGAATATGTTCTGCTTTCCTAACTTCTAGATGTTCCTTTTATCAGGAACATTCCTTCCATTTCTTTATCTACTTAATTTTTACCCACTCCTCAAATCTTGATTTGGGTACTATATCACTTGAAAATTATTATTTAATCCCCTAAAACTGATTGAACCCCCATTAAATCCTCCCCATACATCCAAAGCTTTCCAGTCATTGTATTTATCACATTATATTAAAATGTCTGTTCTATCATTGTTACTCCTACAAAATCTTCCTAGTTAGCAACTAATTACCTGATGCAAAGGAGACATTTTATAATTTCTGCACAAAGTTTGAAATTACTATTAGCAAACATACATCTTTTGAATTCTAGAAATTTGAGTAGCTAAAGATCCATTTGCACATAGGCGAGAAAGCTTAAGGTCTTAGAACTACTTTGTCATATAGCTGATTAGCTGTGAATTTTTATTAATTGCTGCAGTGAACCAATTACTCTTTGGCAATAGTATGCTTCATTTACAGAAGAATTTTCTGTCCTTAAAGACCCATACTTTCCTCTATGCTAAGTAAGCCCCTTAAAAAATAGGTTTATTTAGGAATAAAATAACCTGGGTTGTTATTTTAAGAGTGAAATAAATTACTACCCATCCACATTTAAAATAAAATTTAAAGAACATAAATGTATATAATCAATATTTTAAAAATTATGAATTATAAGTGTAACACATGTTATGTGAATTGAGAGAGGAGGAAAAAGATAGGAAATACATGCTTATTGCAATACAAGACACTAAACATAATTATCTGAGGCACAAACATGTAGTCCCAGATGCCAGGACTGAGAAGGAGAAGAACACAACTACACTGACAGGCTTTCATGTATCCTCACTCTACACTGTGGCCTTTTCATTCATGTGGGATGTGTATTCTACTTCCAAGTGGGTATTGTACGTGTGCGAATTTTGCTAGGCTTAAGACAACAGATGCATGCGCCCTATGGACAGGCTGTGATGAAGAAGATGCCCAACCTCAAAACATTAAAATTCAGTTTTTTAATGGTCATCAGGCAGTATCTTGTCCTTGGATTTCAAGTCCAATAATTTGGCTTTGGGATGCAACCACTAAAGATTTGAAAATCTTGTTGATTTTTGTTAATGGTAAGCACAAATGAGAGTGAGTTTTTATTTCTATTGACTAGTATACATTAGAGGGCATTGGACTGAGGAACAAAGGTTAGTCACCACCATGCCTGTCCCCATGATACCTTTCATTAATGGTGACATCAACGGTGATGTCATCGGGCTTTTTTCCATCAATGGTCCACCAAACCTCATTGCGAGAATCCATCAGGAAACTAAAATAGACTTTACAAGGGATGAGTAGCTCCTCTCCTGGAAAAAAAAAAAAAAAAAAAAAAAAAAAAAAAAAAAAAACACAAAGAAGTAGGAAAAAAAAAAAAAAAAAAGCAATTCAGCAGATGACATCAACCCATCAGTTTGTAATCTTCACGCAGCTAATTGGTTCTACCCTATGGCTAATCAAAAGCTGTAAAAGTTACATGTACCAAAAACCCTACTTATGATTAATTCTCTAGTGGACTAACATAAGGTAATGTACAATCCTTCATTCCAAAACAAACAAAGAAGAAGGCCATCAACTTGATATAAAATTTCCAGAATGACCATTTTTAATACAATCTAAACATGTTCTAAAATGACAATATTTGTTAAAAAAGGCCTCTGATGACATCATTTTTAGCCCTAAACCACCGCTGACTTCTCCTCTGCTTTGTTACTTCCTTCAGAAACAAATGGTGGTCACTAAGAAAAGTTCCTTCAGATCTTTGGTCCTTGGCTCAGGGAAGACAGGACAGTACCATCACTGAACTGGCGAAGGAGGCCCTGTCTTGAAATGCACAAGCTATTCAACAAATACATTCAATAAATGTAAAGACGAGTTACAAATAGAAAAGTTTATGCTATCCATCTGAGAGAGAACATGAAGTTAGGAAGATCCCTAGGCAGAAAATAATAATAATAATAATAACAACAACAACAGCAGCAGCAGCAGCAGCAGGAGCATATTCACTGAGAACTTTGTACAAGTTATTATGCTAAATATTCATGCCTATTAACAGTCTTAGTCTTAACAAAACACTATGAGGTATCTTTTAAATTCATGTTTTACAGATGCAAAAATTTAAGTTTAAAGATATTAAATGATATTTCTAGGTCAAACTGTTAATAAGTGGCAGGCCAGGATTTGACCTAGACTGACCTCCCATCCCAGTTTGCCCAGAATGGTTCTGTTTTATGCCTCCTTTCCTGGTTAGTTATTAATATCGACTGCTTTCACTCCCAGAGTATCTGGGTTTAGATGATAAATTCCATCGACACCCTAATTTGAACTTAGGTTTATCTGACTGAGTGGTCATACTCTATCCTCCTTTCTAATGAATGGTTTTTAGTCTTCTCCCTTTAGTTTTCTATATCATTGAGAAAGATAAAGTGAACATAAATTTGGGAATATTTTTAAGCATAATATGACAGGTAGATGAAAGATATTTATGTAATTAATAAGGGTTTACCCTGACAGCAGAAAGAATGTTCATATTACTATATAAAGCCACTGCTAATTCTAGGAAACCTAAAATTCTGAGATTGGCAGACCTCTTAGTGTGTTCTCTATTTTTTTAAAGGCAAATCATATTTGCAATCTTATCTTAATTTTTTTTTTTTTGGTATTGTTCTCTACCTATGTGGACCACTGCCTCAATTGTCTTTTGAACATTTTAAACCTCTTTAAATACCTCTTTTATACCTCTTATTGAGTTCAAAGTGAAGTTATTGTAAAAGATACAATACAGAAAATGTTAAAATTTTCTATGGCTTTGTATTCACTTAACTGTGGGAGGCTTTGAGTCAGAACAACAAATTATGGCTTATTTGGTCAGTTATGAATTTTTGTCTAGAATGAAAAATTATGAAAACTAAAAGGAGACCCAGAGAGCCACAGTAAACATTCCATAGTATTGTAAAACCAGGGGTACTAGCTATCAGTTGTTACCTATTTTATTTACACTCCTGCTTCTAAGCTCCACCTTTTCATAGTGGAGCAGAACCTTCAGAGATGTCTTGTGCTCATATTTCAGGTTTGGCAAACCAAAGCCCCATGCATGCTAAAGTTTGCATTACATAGAAATCACAGTCAGCAGAGGAAGACTGCTAGTAGAGGAAAAATGGAGCAGATGGGAGAGAGAAGAAGAGAATCCCTGAGCTGCCCATGAGATCGATGAAGTAGCTGATCTCCAGAGTTGCATTGGTTTCTGACGACATTTCAGTTTCAATCCATACATTTCTTTATAGCAGTCCTCTATCCTCTTGCACTAACTTAAACAACATGTTATTCCTTGTAATTAGGAGACTCTGAAATTCAAAGGCATAGTTGTAATTACCAGGTTCTTTCTCATAGACCACGTGATCATTGGGTGAATAGATGTTGGGAGGCGCTGCATCATTTGGAGATCCTGTCGTAGGGAAGAAATAAAAAAAGGAAGTGATGTTAAATCATATAGCTTTTATTTCTACTAACCCATTTCAAAAATCTACTCTTCTATGAAGCCTTGCCCAACTTCCTGGCAGAGTCTGTCAACTCTTCTTGAGAAGAGCCACAGTCCAATATATACCCGAATACTACACTTCATTCATTTAAAACAAGCAAACAAAGTGTGACATAATAAGAAATATGGTCATATGCCACATAACATTTTGGTCAACCACAGACCACATATATGATGATGGCCCCATAAGATTATAATGGAGCTGAAAAATTCCTGTTACCTAGTGACATCTTAGCTGTCATAACTTCATAGTGCAACATATTACTCATGTGTTTGTGGTGATGCTGGCTAGGAGCAATAGACTACATCATATAGCCTAGGTGTGCAGTAGGCTATACCATCAAGGTTTGTATGAATACACTCTGTGATCTTAGCACAATGAAACTGTCTAAAGACACATTTCTCGGAATGTATCTCCATCATTAAGCAAAGCATGACTGTATATATTTGGGTCAGCTCCACATTCCTGATACAGAGCTCTAAAACTCTTGGAATTTCCTCAGTGATAGGGGCAATAGAAACATCTTTTGTTATAACATTTGGTCTTAGTCCCTGGTTCCTGACACAAGAGCTTCGAAGAGCCTTGAGATCTCTGGAGTGATAAGAATATCTTTTGTATACTAATATGATAGATTGGTGGACGGAGTCTCTAGATAGCTTCAGAATGAGGTCTAGTCACCAGAAAGACCAAGGCATAGTCGAAGGCCTGGAATGTTCAGTCCTACCCTCCAATCCTTGGGAAGGAGGAAAGGGTTAGGGAGAGTTGATCACCAATGGCCAATGATTGAATCAACTGCGCCTATGTAATGGAACCCTCATAAAAACCATAAATGACAGGGTTCAGAGAGCTTCCAGATTGGTGAACACATCCCCGGGCGAGGAGTGTGGAACACCCCAACTCTATAGGAACAAAAGCTCCTGAACTCAGGTCCCTTCCAGATCTCACTCTACATACTACTTCATCTGGCTATTCATTTGAATCCTTTGTAATATCCTTTATAATAAACAGTAAATGTAAGTAAAATGTTTCCCCGAGTTTTGTGAGCCTTTATAGAAAATTATCAAACCTGAGGAGGAGGTTGTAAAAATCCTCAATTTGTAGCCAAGCTGGACAGAAATGTGGGTACCCTGGGCATGCACTGCTTGTGATTAGCATCTGAAGTGGGGGGCAGGGCAGTCGTGTGGGACTGAGCACTTAACCTCTGGGGTCTGTGCTAACTCAGAGTAGTTAGTGTCAAACTGAATAAAACCGTAGAACTGCACTTAGTGTCCTCAGAGAACTGGAGATTTGCTTGGCATGAAAACCCACACGTTTGGTGACAAAAGTGTTGTGAGCATAGAAAAACAGTTTTTCCTTTACAAAAAAACAAACAAAACATATTGAGTGTCCTCCATGTTTCAGGATAGGTTGTTTAACCAGTGTTCTTGCTTTCTAAAGCCAACATGAGAGAGACTTCTTATACTACAATATGATTAATTGCTTTAATATCATAATCAATTATTTCTTCTCTAGATATTTGTCTTCAACTTGCCCAGAGTGTCTAGTATGGAACATGGTTAAATAAATGTTAAATGAATGAATAAACACATGAAAAATTCAAAATCACAATTTTAAGATTAGCACATAAGTCTACTTGATGTCTACTCATCAGATGAATGTTCATTCATGGGACTGCTGGCTTTTTATAACATTCGGTAGTCCTAAATTGAAAGAAAAATACCTTACAGAGGGCATTTTAATGTAGTGTTAAAGAGTATTTAATAACTAGGTTCTAATCCTCACTTGATCACATATGAACCATATGAACCGAAGGTTTTATATAAACTTTGCGAAGCTAATTTTCCTTAACTCTAGGATAAGGACAAATGAAACTCACCTCACATTTAAGGTATGAGGAATGAACTGTGTAATATATATTAAAGCATCCATTAGAGGTACATAATATTCAGTACTTTGCAGCTTTAAAAAACAAACCTTTATTGCTTGAAAGTTGGGTAAGAATCTCCTCCCCCATCTGTATCTGTCAACATTTATATATCTATAAAACAGGGTGACCAAGCATGCCTGTTCCCAACTTTCCAAAAATGGATATGCTTAAGTTCATATATTAGAAACAACTGCTAAAGAAGAATATAAATTTAGATTATCCACTTGACTTCTAAAATCTACTCATGTTAGGTTCTAAATTTAGAGGGTTTTTTTCCCCTCCTGAATTAATTCCCAACTCAGCATAATTCAAAAACAAAGCAGAAAAAGAGACGTGACTACAAAATTGTTTGATTTGAACTTCATTTGCACTATGTTAAAGCCTTTTTATTTATTTATTTATTTATTTTATTATTTTATTTTATTTATTTTTTTTTTTTTTGAAATTTACATAGAATCTGGTGCCAGACTAGTAGACCTGAGATTTAGAATTACTTCTACTACTAACTCAGGGAGTGTCTTGAAACAAGTTGCTTCCTATTGTGGGGCCTCAATGTTTCTATCTATTAAAAGCTGGGGTATGGCAAAATAACACTCATATATGCTCTAATTTTTAACACAGTGATATTAAGGCTAGCTGCTAAAAGCCAGGTATCCTGACACTGGTTCTCCTGATTTCTGGATTTGCCAGGAGTCTGTGTGGGCAGCTGGGCATTGCCCTTCCTGTTTCCCAAGCTTCTCACCCCCTATTCTCTCAGTGCCAAACAATGGTTGAACACTACCAGCAAATACCTTCAGCAATAGCTATAGCAGTTTCAGTACCTAGAAAGATATAGTTTACTTAATCCAAGTAAAACACTTTTTGACAATAATATTAACTACAATTTATAGAGCTTCTACCGCTTGCCTGCAACTGCAATAGTACAATATGTATACTATTTCTAATATTATCAATTATCCTGAAGGTTAGGTCTTCTTAGTCTCAGAGTACAGATAAAAAGACTGAGACCTTGATCAAAGTCATATTGCTAATAAGTGTCAGTGATATAATTAGAACACAGATCTGTCTCCTAGTCTTTTCACTCTCCAAACTGCATTTACTTAATTCATTCACATATAGATTCAGTTGACCAATAATCATTGAAAGCTCACTGTGTACATGGAATTGCTGAAGGCTCTGGGGATAGTGTAGAGAACAAAAAAACCTGTCTCTTTTCTTATAGAGTTTACATAATTGTGTGTAATAAATGATTAAGAGCCAGAATCAGACTGTTAATTTTTTTTTTTTTTTGTGCTTAATGCAAATCATGCTTACCTACCACCTTTACAGTCAGAGTCCTGGTGAGGTGGAAAGTACGTCCATTTTCTGGATATGTAACAACACATGTGTAATTTCCGTTATTTGAAATTAAGGCAATGAGAAAACTCAAGTTAATGCCTTCAGGTATTACATTGTTAAAATTCTGTACTTTATGACAGCCCTAGAAGAAGTAAAAGAAAAGATGTTTGCTCTTTAGATACATGCATAGAAAATAAACAAACATGTGTGTACTCACATCTAGTTTTGCACAGAACATCCAAATATTTATGCTGCGTGTTTTACAAAACTATTTAGGTCAAGTACTTGACAATGTTTCTGCAAAGAATAAACGAAATAAATGTCATTATCTTTTCTGCAAAAGATAAATTAAAATCCTAAACTGAGATATGACTTTTAAAGCACCGGTCCCCTGTCTCAGAATCTGTTATTCAAATTCCAGCAATCCCATGTTGATAGTGAAGCAAGTTTCAAGTTCTGAAATAATGGCTAAGGAAACTTGAGCAACTGTAAGCCGTGCTATTTAAAAAAACAATTATAGTTTTCTTTTCTTCACTGATTAAATTAATTCAGGAGTCCACTCAATCTATCTGATAAAGCAGGCCCCAATTTAGATGTCTGATTTTGGCATTTTTCATCATCCTGTAGAATGGCTATTATCAGTCATATCCAAACAATTTTGTGTTTTTCTTCTACTTTATCCCATTTTTTACAATTGAGTATTACAGAGTACAGAATCTAAAATTAAAAGATTTCTTTCGAACTTTATCAAGACCTAAGAGTTTAGTTCCCCCCCAACTCATATTTTCATATAACTTTGTTGATTTTTAAATTGCGAGATTGAACTATCTCATTCAACGTAACTAGAATCCTGTTTTGGATCTCTCAGCCTCACTCGTTGGCTATATTTTTTCATATTTTTTTTCTTATCTTAGAGAAAAAAATCAATACATTATTTGTGACAAAATATATGAACTTTTTACTTTTAGAAAAACTTTTTGTTTTTTTTAAAAAACATCAATAATTCATCTATTACAAAAAGGATTAGGTTATCTCCAAGGCCCTTTGGATATTTAAAATTCTGAGTCTATCACTGGCTGTACTTTCAAGTTCCTGTATTTACATAATTATCTTTAATTCTTATATACTTAAAGTTTTCTTACTTCAATTCCTGGAGCATGTGTTTTGAAATATGACAGTTACACTAAAAGGCACATTTTGTAATTCTTTGTGACAGGAAATATGATTTTAAGAACAACACTGAACTTTTGTTTCATGGAAAAAAATCACCAAAAGGAAGCTGATACAAACACACATTAACATTTGTTATGCTTTTATTCCCATCTTACAGATGAGGAATCAAAGGCTAGAAAAATTCAAAAAGTGTCAACGTCACAGCACTGGGCAGTGTCAAAGCTGCAATGTGAGCTTAGATCTACTTGTTTGGAAGCCCTTGCTTTTAATTCCACTTATTTTCCTCATCCTATATGGTAACCCTGCACCTATGCCACACCTGGAGCCAGCCCCGGTGTTAAGTGTGATGCGGCTCTGTCACTTAAATCAGGCTAATTACTGTAAACAACGATAAGCTGGAAAAACATACTTTTTAGGATGAGAAGTCAACTATTATTACTAAAATTGTCAACAGCATTTTTTAAGAATGTGCTGAAAGGAACTTTTTATAGTAGTTTCAAAGTTATTAGGCCTATAATATTTCATAAAAGGAAATATATTACATTCTTAGTATGTACATGTGTGTTGGGGTAGTTTCAGGGCATTGTTGAACTATAAATGTCCATTAATTTTAACCTATAGTGTCTGGTTAGCTCTGTCTTTTTCTTATAAGCAGCTCCATTTCTGGACCCTTCAGCACATGCACCTGAGACACACAGTATATTTTCAAACATAACAAATGATTCCTGAAAATAAATTCTGCAAAATTTTATAATGAATTCAAAACCATTTGGAATCCATAAGGAAACAGCTATGAAGAAAGACTTGGATACCCAAAGAACAGAAAACATGTTTCCAAACATAAGAAATGAGTTAACAGTAAGTGCATTTCCACAATAAAGCAAATACTTGTTTGACTAGAAGATGAACAATCCTAGTTTACCCATCAGTTCCTCTTTCTGAATTCAAAAGAGAGAAGTTAAATAGAAGAGCCACTTTTCAACTATGCAATGGTTGCTGTGGCAACTGACCACAACATATAGTTAAAGAACAGCACAAGAAATGACTTTGTGATCCTGGAGCGGAAATGAGTCTCGGGGAGGTGAAGGGAGTGGGTGGAGGAATGTCATGAGGAAGTTAGGACAAGTGTTTCCATTCAATACACCTACAATGCGTAAAGAACTGTGAAGAACTGTGCGAAGGCACAAAAGTAGAAAAGACAAAGTTCCTTACCTATCGGTTTTCACAGTCCAGCAGAGGATTGCAAAAACACAATGAAAGACATATTGGGATATCGGCGCAGGGAATATAGGAAGAAGATAACACAGAAAACACTTTTTTTTTTTTTTTTAATTCCAGGAATTTAAGCAGAGACATGAAAAATAGAAAATGTTTTAAAAAATATAACGGTAAAGAAAGATTTGGGCTGAATCTTTTTTTTTTTTTTTTTTTTTTTTTTTTTTGTTTTTTTTTTTTTTTTTCCGTGGCCAGCAACGGATCGCAACCC